CTTGGAAGGTTGAGGCGGGAGGATCGCAGAAGGCCAGCAGGTTGAGGCTGGGGTGGCCGTGAGTATGCCACTGCACTCAAGCCTGGATGACAAAGTGAGACTTCAACTCAAAACAAAACAAAACAAAACAAAGTGTATGTGTAGCAGACTAGGTGCAGTTCACACCTGTAATCCCAGCACCTTGGGAGACCGAGGCAAGAGGGTTGCTTGAGCCCAGGAATTCGAGACCAGCCTTGGAGCAAAGGCTCCTGGCTTGTGGGTGTTTGCTCTGCTGTAATTCACTGCTTCCAGAAGAGTCCACCCCAGATGGTGAGAATGCTCCGCCCTCTTGACGCCCTCCCATCAGCCAGCTCACACTCAGAGGCTGTGCCCTAAGATGCCTTTCTCAGGAAGCAGGTCCACCTTAGACCTGGGCATACGCGCCTGTCCGTATGTGTGTTAAGGGGAGGCAGTTACTGGGAGAACCATGGTTCCGCCAGGATATGACCTCTCCAATGGGGGTCCAAGCCTCATTCCGTGAAGAGAGAATGATCTGAAAACACGCTTGGGACTTAGGGCCTGAGCGACTCAAGTTCAAAGCCTGAGGTCAGCTCCAAACAGCGTGATCCTAAATAAGTTTGGTTTCCCAGGGCTCCGTTTCCCCATGAGTTAGAAAGAAGCGAATAAGACCTAGTCCACGGGTGACTGTGAGAACTGTAGGAAGTGGCATGTGGGATGGGGATGGGAGGGTCAGTGGCTGGAAGCCACCTCTCATAGACAACACATCAAACCGTTAGCTCACCCCCTCGCCCCATACCCCATGCAAGATCTAGTCCCAGCTTGGCCGTGAATCACCTGAGTGACCATGGGCAATCCATTCACTCTCTCTAGCCTCAGTTTCCCCTTCTGTCAAACTAGGGGAGTGGGATCCCAGGACCCCCTAAGTCTCCCTAGTCCTAACATCTTGCCAGTTAGCGTCACTATTAAAAGAGAGGCTTGTTTTTGTTTTTCTGAGTCAGAGTCTCACTCTGTCACCCAGGCTGAGAGGCACAATCACAGCTCACCAAAGACTCAAACTCCTAGGCTCAAAGGATCCTTTTTCCTCCCTCCTTCGCTCCCTCCCTCTCTCCCTTCCTCCTCCTCCTCTCTCTCTCTCTCTTTCTCTTTCTTTTTTGAGTCAGGGTCTCACTCTGTTGTTCAGACTGGATTGCCGTTGCACAATCACGGCTCACTGCAACCTTGACCTACTCAAGTGATCCTTCTGCCTCAGTTTCCCAAGTAGCTGGGACTACAGGCACACGCCACAGTGCCCTGCTAATTTTTGACTTTTTTGTAAAGAAAAGGTCTCATTATGCTGCCCAGACTGGTTTCCAACTGCAGGGCTCAAGCGACCCTCCTGTCTCAGCCTCCCAGAGAACTGGGATGATAAGGGTGAGCCGCCACCCTCTGGGAGCTTATCTATGAAATGACTTTGGGTCAGTTAACCCAGTGAGCTTCAGGTTCCTTATCTGTATAATGGGGAAAACATCAGCAACTTTAGAGGGATGGGACAGACGGGCTGGAACAGAAGGAGAGCCTGGCCGATACACAGATCAGCCTGGGGGAGAGGCAGGGAGTCTGGAAATAGCTTGTTTTCAATCCTCAGGAAGATCTAGACTATGGCAGATGGGAGCTGTGCACAGTGACTCATGCAACTTTGGGAGGCTGAGGAGCGAGGATCACTTAAACCCAGGAGTGAAGCCCATCCTGGGCAAGATAGCGAGAGAGTGATGGCTCACACCTGTAGTCCCACCTGCCCAAGAGGCTGAGGCAGAAGGATGACCTGAGCCCAGGAGGTGGAGGCTGCAATGAGCTATGATCCAGCCACTGCACTCCAGCCTAGGCAAGAGAATGAGACTCTGACTCCAAAAAAAAAAGTTAGGAATCAGAGGTTCAGTGGGCTCTCAGTGCCGGCCAAATCTGTGGGACTCTGGCCCCCATGAGAGATGGATACCCTCTTATACCCCTTGTACCTCTAGACTGACCTGACCCCTGACCTGACCTGACCCCTGACTCCACTGTGCCAGACTCCCTGGCAGCTACTGCCGGAAGCACCCTTTTCAGGTGAGTGGTTTCTGCTTGAACCGGTGCTGTGTAACCACACACCTCTGCTCACCTCAGTGCCTGGGGTTGCCGGGGTAACAGCGAGCTATTCCGGGCCTCCCTATGGGATCCCAGTTTCTCTTTCCAGATCCCATGGGCCTCATATTCTGCACTCCATGCTGAGACCTCTCCTCCTGCCTGGCCCGATCAGAGGGAAATGAAAAGAAACTGACCACCCCTCAGCTGGGCCTTGGCGTTCAATCTCTTGGCCCTCCGATTACCTTAGTTACGGCACATTTCCATTTACAGAGTGCTTTCCCTTGTAAAATCTCCTGGTGTTGACTTCTCATCTGCTAAATAGATTCCTCTGACCTCTCCTTGTTTCTACCCTCTAAATATCTGTTGATGGTTCATTCACCGCATTCCCCATTCGGTTATTAATGGCCCACAAAAACTCACCAGCAGTAATCATTTACTGATTAATCTGCACAACAATCCAGAAAGACAGGTAGTATTAATCCTCAGTTCTGCAGAGGGAAATCAAGGGGAACAGAGAGGTTAACTCAGTTGCCCAAGGTCAGTGGTTAAACAAGATTATAACCAGGATCTAACCTGTCTTGGGTTTCTGTAAACACTTCCCACCGTGCCGAAGCCTTTCTTTAAAAATCAGCGCATTCAGTGCAGCTCAGTGATTGCTGTGTTGAGATTCCACTGACACAGCCCAGTTCAAAACTGTCAAAATTCACCCCCAAATAATTTTGACTGCCAACGTTCAGAGATAAAAGTTGCTACAAGACAGATAAATAAGTGCACTTGAAAGTTAATTTTACACGGGCAAAAAAAAAAAAGAGTGAAAAGATCTGGATTTTTTTTTTTTTTTTGAGTCAAGGTCTTACTCTGTCACCCAGGCTAGCATGCAGTGTCATGACCGTGGCTCACTGCAGCCTCAACCTCCTGGACTCAATTGATCCTTCTGCCTCAGTCTCCTGAGTAGCTGGGACAACAGGTGTATGTCACCATGCCCAACTAACTTTTTGGTTTTTTTATAGAGATGAGGTCTGGCTATGCTAGCCAGGCTTTTTTATTTTATTTTATTTTATTTTGAGTCAAGAGTCTCATTCTGTCGCCCAGGCTGGAGTGCAGTGGCATGCTGACAACCACCCCAGCATCGACCTGCTGAGCTCTGGTGATCCTTCCACCTCAGCCTTCCAAGTAGCCAGAACTACAGGCATGTACTACCATGCCCATCTAATTTTTTTCTTTATTGTAGAGAAGAGGTCTCACTACGTTTCCCAGGCTGGTCTCCAACCCGCGGACTCAGGCAATCCTCTCTCCTCAGCCTCCCAAAGTGCTGGGATGACAGGCTGAGCCACCGACCCCGGCCTTTGCCCAGGTTCCTTGAACTCCTGAGCTCAAGCTATCCTCTCACTTCAGCATTCCAACGTGCTGGGGTCATAGGCATGAGCCACCCTTTAAATCTGGATTTAAACACAACTTTGCCACAATGAGATTGAGGAAGTCACTTTACTTCTCTATATCATCTGTAAAAATGATATTATGCTCAATGATATTTAAAATAAGATGACTGAATACCCACTAAAATAGCACAAAATGTAAAAGCTCCGACATCCAGTGCTGCCACAATTGTGGTAAAACTGGTAACTGTACACTCACTCACCACCAAGGCATGGCCCCATCGCCCTGGGAAAGCAAGACAACAGGCAGCAAAGAAAGCATAAAGAATTCCACATCTTTTGACATAGTAAGAGCTCGTGCACAGTATCTTACCCCAAGCAATAAGTCAACAGAAGCCAAAAGACATATGCCAACAAAAACACACATTTCAGTGCTCGCTCCCAGAAGAAACGTGCTGGTCCATTAAATGTTCGTGTTTAGAGGAATGGCTTATTAAAGACAGACACAGCCAACAATATGAACAGCACACTGCTATTAAAAAGGATAAATATGAAAACCATGCCAAAACATTTCAAATCTTAACCAATAAATACGACCAAATAAAAATAGCCCCAAGTCCAAGAGCAGATATATCCTCTGATGTCAACTACAAAAAATGTGAATAAATACAAATAAGTACGATCACATGAAAAATCCAAATAGCTATCGCCGACAACTGTTCAAATGTTTCATCATTTAATCAAACATTCAAGAACTCCCCACACCTTGCTTTCGTCTTTTGGAAGACAAAATTTGCAAGTTTCTGCCGAAATCTCCCCAGTACTTTTTGTTGGTTGACGTATTCTTCATGGCATTGGTCTTCCAGGGCGATGTCTGCGCCTTACTGTAGAACTCTTTCGTGTCTGTAGAGATTCTAAAAGTCTCAGAACACTTATCTTTCTTTCCCTGCCCTAAGAGGAGCCTTAAAAAGATTCATCTTATCATGAAGACACGAATAACCCCACAATCTCCTTGTCATGTGATGATCCAGCGACCATCTGACCCAGGCCCTGATATTTCGCAGTAGCTCAGCCTTTGGGTATCCCTGAAGCAACCAAAAACCTGCTATCATCTTTCTTTTTACAGGTTACCGGGCAGCTTCCTATCCCGAGTTTTGGAAGCTTTCCAGCAGGACAGCGTCTCTTTGCAGGGATCTCAGGACACCCTCTAGCTCACTTACAAAAGCCGCTCCCAGGTAGGACACTGCTGTGGCAATTTCGCTCCACAGAAGGACTTTGATACCCACCTTCACTGCTTAGAAATGTTCTCTTACTAGTAGGTCATTGGCACATCTCTGCTCATCATATCTGGGGAACACTGCAGAGCCAATGAATTAAAAATATGATTCTGGGTCTCCCGTGTGCCCACGAACGCCCTCATTAAAGCAGAATGAGCGAGATGGGATCGGTTTCAAAGCTTCCCATGCCTCTGCCCCAGAGCCGCCAAGGCCAGGCACTGAAAGGATGCACAGTAAAATTAAATATCTAAAAATTCATCTTTAATTAACAGCATTGGATTAAAGCTAGACATCGCCGCATATCATACGAGAAATGGCTGAGCTGGCTTCCAAGTGCTCTAATTCAATTAGGACGCAGTGAGTGACACTCGGACGGGAAAGGTTAATTGGGGCCGACAGAACGCAATCATTCCTTACCTAACCAGTCATTAAACTTCTTAACCTCGGAGGGCAGTCCCAGTTCGGTGAAATCGCCCGTGTGGAGGAGGACGTCCCCGTAAGGCATCTGGATACCATCTGTTCTGGAGTGTGTGTCTGAGATGCACACAAACCGCGTGTGGCCCGCTGGTTTTGGAGTGTCATATGGGATGGGGTCGACCCTGAGTAGACATAACAGATCCCACAGCAGTTAAACACATTAGAAGGCTCGCAACGTCATCGCACATACCTGTCAGCCGTGAACGCACCCCCACACCCCGACGCCTAGGCAGAAGCGCCCAGTGGAACCTTCTGGGTATCGAGGAGACAGGGTCACCCACCTACAACCCCGCTGGGCCCATTCCAAAGGACTGACTTACCTGGGAGAACAATTACAAGAAAGGAATATCCTACATGGAGGGAGTGTCGAAATAACCCAGAAACGGTAGAGTGAATAACGGGTAAGCTTAGGGATACCGAGCCCCAGCTGGGAAGGCAGAATTAGGCTGTTTCTCTCTCATCGTGTTCAAGGGATCCCATGACTTGTTAGGAAACGGGTAACTGATTTCTTCCTTCTTAAACACGCATAACTGGAGCAATGAACTCATTTACAGAGTGCAGTCTACACAGCTCTGCCAGTCGAGATGTGGAGAGACTGCATTTATATTTCATTCCTTTCCACAAACGCTTGACACCTGTATCTTCTTGTTTTTGCTGAGAGTCACAAGTCAGATGGTAGGGAGGGAAGGTCATGCCAAAATAACAAGGCTTTAAAATAAGCATTGGGCCGGGCTCGGTGGCTCAACCTGTCATCCCAGCACTTTGGGAGGGCAAGGAGAGTGGATTGCCTGAGTCCACGGGTTCGAAACCAGTCCTGGCAACTTGGCAAGAACTCATCTCTACAATAAATGAAAAAATTAGCGGGCGTGGTAGTGTGCACCTATAGCTCCCTACTTGGAAGGCTGAAGCGGAAGGATCGCCGGAGCCCAGCAGGTTGACGTTGGGGTGGCCATGAGCGTGCCACTGCACTCTAGCCTGGGCGACGGAGTGAGATCCCAACTCAGAAAACAAACAAACAAACAAACAAACAATAGATGTTGAAAGAACTCTGTCAGCCAGGCTTGGTGGCTCAGCCTGTAATCCTGCGCCTTTGGGAGGCTGAGGTGAGTGGAT